CGGCGGGCATTGGATCGGCAGATAAGGTGTGGGGGAAACTAAAAAATGGCGGAAAATTGGAAGCACTTAACGTTAGAATCTATAGAACGAAGACACTTCCTTTTTTCCGGACCCGAGTCCGAATAACATTTTTTCATATTCGGACTCGAGTCCGAATCCCGAGTCCGAATAAGAATTTTTTTTATTCGGACTCGAGTCCGAATATGAAAAAATGTTATTCGGGCTCGAGTCCGAATAATGACGGCCATATAGAATCTAGATCTAGATCTAGATTCTAAATCTAGATCTAGATCTAGATCTAGATCTATAAGATTTAGATCTAGATCTAGAATCTAGATCTAGATCTAGTTGACTCTAATTAAAATCACAACTGAATTTTAGCATAGTTCTAGATTTAGATATAGATCTCTAGATCTAGATCTAAATCTAGATCTAGATCTAGATCTAGATCTAGATCTATCTAATCTAGAATCTAGATCTAGATCTAATAGCGGAGACATTGGGCCTACAATTTGAGTTACTTTACTTCAAGTTCAAGCCCAGGCCCAGGCCCAGGCAAGTCTAAATTGTTGTAATTCCCTAAAACACAGCACTAGATTCAAGATCTAAATTTGGATATCTAGATCTAGATCTACGTTCCCATACATACACATACACACAAAAGTCGTGGTTCCGTCAGTCTGCAGGACCCTGGATTAGAATCTATCTAACATTGGGATTCCCCTCTCCTGTCTTGTTTTTGTTTCGAGTTTTGCTTCCTTCCTGTGTCTCGCTCGTCACATGACAGTGGCGAAGTTTCTATTTTTAACCATACATGAAAACCTGAACCCTGGTCAGGGCTGAAGCCACCCAAGAAACAAAGATAAAAGATTACTCTTGCCCTATCGGATCTCAAGTACAACATGTACACATTGTGTGTATTCTGTTATCACATTCACTGCCATACTTTTTGTAAATATTTCACTATAAAGGAGGCTAAAGTCTAGATTCTATATATTGTTTCAGAGATTACACATTTCTACAGTTGATTTAATTTGTCGGTCTTGTGATTATTATGCTGTAATTAATTTTAATAGTAGACTAATTACGCGAATAGTTAAGGCTCGAATACGCAATCCCTTCATACTTCATTGTTTTAGAATGTCTTGGACTCGTGGTCTAGATCCAAGGTACGGTGTTGGCAGTTCGCCTTTCACTCAGTACGCCCAGTCTGTCTGTATTCAAAACCTGACAGCGCCTCCAAAAATTCTTCGCTAAAACTTTCTACTTTCTTCTCCTTTCCTGAGCCTTGCCCTGTTCTGCTTTCAACCCCTCCACCCCCTCCCCCCTCCCTCCCCCCATCTCTCTCTCTCTCTCTCTCTCTCTCTCTCTCTCTCTTCTCTCTCTCTCTCTCTCTCTCTCTCTCTCTCTCTCTCCCTCTCCCTCACTCTCTCTCTCTCTCTCTCTCTCTCTCTCTCTCTCTCTCTCTCTCTCTCTCTCTCTCTCTCTCTCTCTCTTACTCTCTCTACTAATCTCCTTGTTCTGTTTTACACGTGTCTCTCAGCCAGACAGCCAGCCTGACGGATTAGTGTACATGTAATAGGATGTAGGCCTAGAATGGTATTTAAATGGATTGGTGGATTGGTGGCATTACGCTTGTGTGGCATTATAATAGTATAATGGATTGGTGGTGTGGTGATAATAGTATACTGGATTGGTGGAATCTTGGTACAATGGTAGGGTTTTTTTGGTAAGTGTTTTACGGCCCTTGTAACTGCATAAGGCCATATATGAGCGCGCAGCATACACTAAACATTTTCAGTTGGTAGGACACTTTTGCCTGGGTGGCGGATGAAGCCTACTCATCGATTTTGGACCACACCACCAAGGGATCTTTAACGTGCACAACTTGCACAAGGAACCTCCAAGATTTTCGCCCTTGTCCGAGAAGGCTAGGTGTAGATCTTTCCTACCAGAAGATCAGGGGTATGGCGGAAAGACGGCAGTAAGAAGGAGCCAAGGAGTAGCAGTAGAAAGGCTGCAGAAAGAGTCAGGAGCCCAGAGGAGGGGGTGGGGGAAGAAAGGGGAGACGAAAGCAGACGACGGAACACAGTTAGAAAGCAGAAAAGGAGGTAAAAGGAGACAATTTTAGAGAAGAAACTGTTTCCGTCGCTACCCAGATTCGAACCTGGGACCTTTGAATGAAAGGCCAACGCCTTAACCTCTCGGCCACGAGAGCCCCCTGGATTGGTGGTATGGTGGATTGGTGGTGTGGTGGATTGGTGGTATGTTTATATGGTGGCTGGGTGGATCGTTGGGTTGGTGATTTAGTAGTATGGTGGATTGGTGGTATCCACGGCACAGCAAACTTCAAAGGCCGGATGGCCGGACGTAAAGTTGACAGGCAGCGGCTGTAGATATTTTTCATCCGGCCGACTGGCCATTCGCCGGATGTTCGCCTACGGTTTGAGCCCAAATTTGTTTGAGCCGCATTTCTTATAAGACCTACACGTTATGGTCCAGAAATCTGTCCGGTCGGCCTGTACGTGGCGTCGGTGGCCTAGTGGTTAGGCTCTCGGACTCGCAACCGTAAGGTCGTGGGTTCGAATCCCGTCAAGGACCTGACGTTGTGTCTTTGGGAAAGGCACTTTGCACAAATTTTCCTCTCTTCACCCAGGTGGAAATGGGTATCCGGCTATAGACAGTGAACGATCTTGTCAGTTTGATAGTGTTTGAGAGCGTGAAATCCGCAGCTTGCACTGTATGCTTCCGTGGTAGCCGAGAATGTTTCTGAGTGTTCTCAGAGGGTCTGCTGGGGTATAATAGTTGTAAAGCGCATAGAGAATGCTCTTGAGCATGGATATGCGCTATATAAATGCAATTATTATTATTATTATTATTATTATTATTATTTATTATTATTATTATTATTATTATTATTATTATTATTATTATTATGTAAAAGACCCTTAACGCCTAGCTGAAACTGCTAAGCTAATAGTCCGAGAGCCAGGTCTATATAAAGTACTAGAACCTTGTTTTTCATCATAAAGTTTTTTTCTTTGGTGATTCTGCTTCCTCGGGGTCTCTAGACTTCATATCAGTCGGGGGCCAATAATTTTTTCTGCTGGTTGAAATACACTAACCCGTATCATGCAAGAATGATGAAGGAGCGACTAGGGATGGGCAATGAGTCGATTTAGCAAAATCCGGATAATATGCTAGTATACCTCTTCGACAAATAATATGTTATGAACCGCTTCGGCAAAACCTCTCAGATAAACGGGTTAGCATTACTTCATCAACAAATGGGTACACCCACTTAGGCAAACTGGTCAGGAAAGAGAGTTAAGAGTCTGAATTCAGATAATATTAAATTTCATTGAGAATTATCCGGTTATCCGGATAGTTTATCCGGATTTTGCCCACCTGTACCATTCGTGCGAGGGTACTAGACCTAACGCTAACAGCTTCTCTTACCGTGATATCACATGATGCACCGAAAGGTGCACAGCATGGTCTGACTAATATGGACTCAGCTAGCAAAGCAAGGAGACATTGGCAGAGAGTGCTTCGGAACACCACACCTCCGTAGAAACAAAGAATGTAGAAAACCGCTACGTAACCACGAGGACACGATACGATCAGGCTGGTTCATGCAACATGCACATGCACACACACAGTGTCTCACTCAATTACTTTTACACACATACTGATGCGATAAAGAACCCACCGCTGATCAAATCGAGACGGATTAGTGGTTTTCTGGAAGCAAGCCAGCAACGAGATGATGGACTCCAGAGACTTCCAGAAGATGCTGAGTTTATACTGTGTCACAAGAACTGTATGAGCACACATTGTTACAGGGACCATATTAAACGATTTTTACTAAAGGGAAAGACTGAGGAACTTTCTGTAGAAGAACCCAAACGTCATAGGGGCAGTACTAGTTCGTTTAATTTTCATGAACATTGTTTTTTTGTGGAGAAGCATGCTCACTGATACCCCCGAAAACACCCAGATCGTTGGAAAAAGCCTACTTATGCCGAACTGGAGAGGGGAAAGGGAGGAAGATCACCAAAGAAAACCTACAAAAAACGTGCCAAGGAACGTGGGGACAAATGGGGAACGGATGTCAGCTTTCGTGTGTCATCAACAGTCAGTGATTTTCATTCAACAGACGCTAGGTATCAGAGAGACTGCCACTCCCGGTTCTACACAAACAATCCAACGCAATCAACTAGCTCACCTACAACGCATGACAATGTCTTCGGTACGCTGGTTTTCGAGATTCGATGAAACAAATCACGCATGTGGAATAGTGTGGGAGTCCATGAACGCTGTATTGAACTTGGGAGGAAGACAAATCGCGAGGTATACTCCTGAACCATGTATCCGAGAAGCTACACTCAGAATTGCTTATCCTGTCCTCACCAGGTGTGGCTTCCGTCCTCGTCTTCAGAAGCACAGCTTCAGCCTAGTTGCGTATTGTGAATGATGAAGAAGACTGCAATGGACGAGCCATATCATGCTTGGTTAGTGTGATCAAAGCAGAATGTCCAAACCGCTATCGCCATACGTACCCAACTCTGCCTAGAGGATTTGTCATGAATGAGTGCAGTCCAACTTTGCTTTCGATCCTTGCACCCACAGACCCCAAACTGGATTCTACACTGCCAGCAGCAATGATCAGCCACACTGTTACGAGTGCAATCAGCAGCTATTTCACAAACTTTTCTACTTGGGCTTAGTGTCCAGTTGAGTCGACAGAGGAAATTCAAAGACGAGCTTCATACGTATGGAGTCACCACCTCATACGACGAACTGAGGCGCTTTCAGTATTCAGCTGCCATTGCTATGGCATCTGTTCCACAAGGACTGGCCTTCTTTGACAATGAACATGGACTTGTTCAAGTTGTAGCTGACAACTTTGACACCCAGATATCATCTCCAAATGACCAGAAATCAACGCACGGCTTAGCAATGATACTGGCACAAGCCAACACGCAGAAGTCAGAGCAGGTATGGGAAATGCAAGATATTCCTGCCATCAGGTGGCTCAGCAAAACAGAAACCAAGTCCGATAATCTGACACTTGGTGACGTTGCACTTCAACGGTACACAGGAAACACGAAACCACTAATGCCGGAAGAACTGTGCCTCCGACATATCCCATCTCTGGTCTTTCTTTCCACACGACAGGTTTCTCTGAATAGAACTGCAACTCAAGATCTGTCATTTTTTAAACAGGCACTCGGCGAAGATGCAAGACCTGAGTATGGAGGTTATTACACACAACGTACCCGCAGTGCAGAACAACAACTCCAACCAAAGACAGATGTGGTGTAAAGTCTATTCCTGGACATGATTCCATCTGAGCCAGACACCGTGAAGACAGCAATCCAGTTGAAGCCAAGGGTCTGACACAGCTCACTGGCCATGGATGAACAATATTCACCAGTGACAACCAGCTGTACAAAGAACTTGTCCACATCACATGGGTTGTTAAGGAACAGTTTCAGAAGTTCATCCTTAGACTTGGTGGTATGCACATGCTGAGGAGTTTTGTTAGTGCTGTGGGGTAGTTGATGGGAGGAAGTGGCATTGAAGACATATTTGGCTCAGCATTTGTAGGGGTGCCAAAAATGTTGACAAAGAAAAAATACCCACAAAATGTAAAAGCATTGAGACTTCTTGTTGAGGAGTTACTGCGATCCATTCTCCCCAACACTGACGTGCACACCATGGCTGCACTCACGCAA